ATTGGAGGTGGTCCATCGTTTCAAGCTTTCGGTGGCATACAAAGATGAGAACATCGCCTCACCAACGCTCACAGGGAGGGGGGATGGGGGTGACTACGTCGATACGACTCGGAACCAGGGTCGGTCCTATCGTTGTTACTTTTTCAAAAAATTTTACGACCCCCTCTCCCCAAGGTGGACTTGATACGACCCCCTTTTCGACACCTCGAACCACCTCGACCCACCATCATCCTATCTATAGTATTTAATTCTGGTACCACTCAACCCACGAAACTCCGCCCACTTTTTCCTCCAAAAATGCCGTCGAACGTGGGATGGGAAATAGCTACTCCGGAACCTTCGAAAATTTCCTATAATTTCCTCTATTTCAGCATTCCACCCCCACTTTTACCCAACCCGAATTTTACCTATCTTCCCACAACCTCATTTTCTAGAGGAGGTATATGCGCACGATGGAATGGGGAATTTCTCTCCCATGCGCTCCCAACTCACCCAGCCTTCTACTCTCACCACAAACTCACCCATAATTTCACGCAACTGAAGCGAATACGACCCCTCCTGTAAACTCAACCGGATACGACCGTTGTTACTAGTGACAACGTAGGGTTGACCCTGCTTGGAACGTTTCTACTATCGCATTCTCGGTGCGCAAATTTTTTCGGTGGGTACGCTGTATATGTTCTTCTGGAGTTCAATATGTCTATTTATATTTGAAAACTGGTGAAACGCCTGAGAGGCAAGGCAGCCGTACACTGCTGAAATGAGGATGCTGAGAAGGAGATGCGGCTGGAAGCAATTGTATTGGGTAAGGAAGCACTTGCTAAAGACAAAAAACCATCTAGAAAGAAAAGCAATGGATTTTGAGTGTCCGACGTCACGGCTACGACTTGAGAGTGAGAGCATTGTGGCAACGACCAACAAAGATTGCTAAGCCTGCGACTGGCGCCAGCATCAAAGGTGCGATCGTACGATTAGAAAGCAGCCCATTAGAGCCGAGGTAATCAGTGATGACCAGATAAGACAAAAATTGTGAGAAACGTTTCAGAACCCAAGAAAGAGAATTTCAACAAAATACAACAGGGCGCCAATAGTAGCGCTAACAACTACTTGGACGCTGTATATCCACCAAATGTATACATCCAATTTGGTCTCTTCCATTCAAGCAAGTCCACTTCCGCGCTGAACCCGTGATTGCAGCAGTCCTCAAACAGCCACGAAAAGATGTTCTCGAAGCAGAAACAATCTCAGACCTTTCCAGGCGTTCGAGCCGTTCCACTCACTACATCGTCATCTTGCGCAGCCACCTCGGCAAGGGAGAGGCGAGCACGTCAGATGAGATGAAAGACGTTTCCAAAAGTCGGCAGAATTTGCAAATTTATTGACTATGTCTTTAACCAACAACGATGCAAATTTTCCTATGTCTGATATGTACACACTACTCTACGCTTTGCATAAATATCTCTCCTATAATAAACATACACAATAGACTATTTAACGAGTCACTAGAACGGACTGCTTCTATATATACATCACTGAAAGATTTGATGAGAGTCAGTATAGGTTACTGAGAGTCGTGTTTCGTTCGCAAACAGAGTGGTAGAGCGAGGAACATGGGTAGAAGTAGAGGTAACTGCCCGAAATGGATTTCATGTTGTAATAGGCGGCACATGTGGCAGCTGAAGACCATCCGTTGGCATCGACGCGAACGGCAGGATCAACCATTTCCTGAAATCCACGGTTCAAAAAGGCACATTCACAAACATTTTACTTCAGCCGCATTCCGCTCTCAGTGGCTTATCTCGTCTAAAGCAATGCCGGAATACGCAATGAAGGAATGCCAAAGCACAATGTGTTTGAAAATTGAGCAATAACTCACAGCAGTGCGGGATCCAGTCCCTCGTAACCGCCAAATGATGGCCTTCCGGACGGGAGGGCGCACTCATAGGCGACCTGAAAAGAACCTCTTGGCGAAATGTAGCGCTCCAATATGTCGCTGTCACTCACGGGCCGTCTGGTAGAACAACTTGCCACCGCGGGTATGAGTCAGTCTCGCTCTGTCCAAGGCCAATCCAGCTCCAGAAGTATGGGGGTGTCTCTTTCATTACTTCGTTCTAAATGTGTGACACTATAATTAAAACAACTCATCAGCTGCATTCAGCAACTCACAAATTCCTCAATGGAGTCAGCGATGAACAGCGTAGCTCCCTTTTCATTGCATGCTCTCTCAGCCTCGATTAGACCCATCTTGGCCGACTCCATGTAGTAGCACGAGTCTTGGTAGCGGCTCCATCCATCAGGACAGATGACGCCTTCCTAAAAAGCGATCATAATCTACACAAAACTCATGAGAAATTGTGAGCGTACTTCCGGAAATCTTGCGGGTTCCTCCAAATATTCTTGCTGTGCTGGTCTGCAGCAGCTTCCTCTTCGTCCACAGCAGCAGCACGATCGCGGCGGCGGTTGGGTGGTGGTCGGAGGCTCAGTTGTTGTCGTTGTTGTTGTGGTGGTGGTAGTAGTGGTTGTGGGGTCTTCATAAACTTCACAGCAGCAGCAGCAGCATCCACACGGTTCGGCTGAAAGCAAGGTGCTTCGATTGTTAGGGAATGCAGCAGTTCTTCTGAACTCACGGGTCGTTGTTGGTTCCGTAGTAGTAGTGGTGGTGGTCGTTGTAGTAGTTGTGGTTGTTGGGTCTTCGTACACCTCCTCACAGCAACAACAGCACGAAGATGCTAAAAAGAGATTCTTGCTGGTGAACTAAAAATGTTACTCACAGTTTGACTACCACAAGCTTGAGCAGGTGCTAAGGCAGCGGTCGGAGCAGGACTGGTGGTCGTCGGTTCTTCTGGACACGGGCATTTGCAATCCATACCGCTGCCGTCATCTTGACCAACAGGGAAAGGGAAGACTCGCAACACAAACACGAGCAGAATCAGGGATCTGGAGGAACAGCAACTTGGCATTGGGAAATAGCACTGAGATGATGACAGAGACGACTCACTTTAACGACATTGGAGCTGGAGACTGGAGCAGAGCATCGCAACGTCCTTTTATAGGCACTCCTCCCGCCTTTGACAACTACCGCGATCGGAGATCAGAGCGGTTGAAAGTTACTGGTGAATCTCGGGTTCTTCAGTCCATCGACTCGTAAGCCGGACTCATTAATAGATGAGGCCACTCGAAAGCTATTCTGTTCTTGTTGCATCCATAAGCTATCTTGATTTCTTCAAATTAGGCTTTTACGTTGGTAGCTTTACTCCGATCACTTTCTGAAATCGATACGATTAAAATGGTCAAATCTTGGTCTTTGACGACGGGGTCAGATAATATCAAGAAGAATGCTGTATCTCCCGTATTTCTCGTTCTTTGTGTACCATAAAGTTATACGAAAGCTTGATGGACCTGGCGCTAATTTTGTTGCCACTTTAGGTTTCATACTTGTATCCTTCAACATTTGATTTCGCTTGTCATCGCTACACTTCGTTCTTCTTTTCCACAATGTGACACAGTTGCGATAGCATGTTCTCAGTTGTGCAAGATTCCATTGCTGAATCAGTTTTTCTATCGATCATCGTGCTTCTACTTCTTATTAAAAATCAATTCAGTCATTTTCTTCACAAATTCCTTAGTATTTATAGAAGTCACCAAATTGTCTGATTCATGCATTTCTGTACGTCTAGCATCCCTTTGTTGTTAACAGTGCCAACGGATGTGAAAGCCAATGCGAAACGGCATCCCCTAGCTTCCTCCCTCCGCAACAGTTAGGAATACGGTAGGGAACACAAACGATAGCACCTACTGCTTCTCCCCACCCCGTTCCCGGTGCGATAGTGCCTTAGTCCTTGAATAGGCTGTTTAGCGAATCTTCCACCGTAATTAATACGACGGCTGTCAAGCCAGTTACTGTGAACGCGACCGTCTTATTAGCGCGACTCGCGCCCCTCAATCAAGCTATAGCACAACCAGGGGCTTGTCTTTCAAGCAGTCTGGGAACCTATCTGAATAGGTTGGGCGTTTTTTGTGAGTGTAGCAATAGTCTATATAATGACCAAAAATCAGTGAAATTCCAGAATTTCAGGATTTGATGAGTAAATCATTCGAGCGAATAGTGATCGTAAGCGACAATATCACTGCTCAATAAAAATATGTTCGCCTTTCAAAGTAGTATTCCTCTACCAGTTTCATGCACGGCCTATAATCGTTGATTGATCGAGCGGCTTTCGTACGCTTCAAATCTCTGCACTTGAGATACAGTCAAACGCGCATCCAACTGCTTCCGTGACATTCTTGCCACCTCGCGAACTGAATGGTTCCCGTTGCTGGGGTAACACTCGCAAGATCATCTCAAGCTTAATTGTGAGGAAGAAACGTGTGTTCAGCTTATGCTTGGGACCAAGGTTTGGTGCGTTCTTGTAAAGCTTTTTGTAACGCAGGTGGTCAAATAGCAGTCAATAACCGAATCGCAGCAGATTCCCCGAATGGATTAGAGATGAAAGTGGGTGGCTTCCCACAACCGATCAGTTCACATAGGCTTTCCAGCATCGTGACTGTCAAGTGATACCGCAAATGGCGATATCTTGTCTATGCAAATCATATTACTTTCAAGGTAACGGAACGACATCACCATTTCGATAACCCGCTTATCATCGGATGTGCTATGAAAGCGCAGAAGTGAAAAAATGCTGCATTTCACAAAAAAAAATCACGTAGACGAATAAAGACGTGGAAAAATCGTGGAAGTTTCGCGAGCGTGTACGGTTCAGCAATTTGCGCTCCTGTATATTTGACAAAATTTTAGACGGGGCAGAAATGATGTGAGCGAAATATGGCAAAATGATTGGGTCTCAAACCGAGCTAGAAACTGCGATCCTCCTCTAGCCGATTGTCCTTCTGAGCTAGCGTGGACAAATTCTTTCAATTGAAGCCAACCTTGGCATATATCAGGGATGATGCTCCCAGTGTTATATCCCTTCTTGAGTCTTGTTACAGCAAAATCTGATTATCCGAGTGAGTTAGGATGTTCTGTAATGTTTCAAAAAAAAAATTTTACGGCGCGTGTCCCGAAAAAGAAGGACTTCTATCCAGCAACATTTCTTGCTTCGCCGACTTGACTGGTTACATCACCATTGGAATATCCGCAGTTTCGGAAGCTAGCGGGTCAGCGAGCTGTGTGATTAGATAAAATTGTTTTATGAACGCATGTAGCTGTCATATTGAGACGAGTAAAAGAGTACCTATCTTGGTTACAAACCCCACCACTGGTCAAGAAGTGGACACCCTGTGATCACCGCCGCTCTCATTGCTCGATGCGGAGCGCCCTTTCGCATTGGCTTTCACATCCGTTGGCACTGTTAACAACAAAGTGATGCTAGACGTACAGAAATGCATGAATCAGACAATTTGGTGACTTCTATAAAAACTTAAGAATTTTGTGGAAGAAAATGACAACTGAATTTGGACTGTAAGAGAGAAGGAGGAAGCGACTCTCCATTTATCCGTTATCTGGAGTCAGTCTTAGAGAGGTAAAGGATCCAGAGTGGATTTCGCACTACCATCTGGATTTCGCTCTGCGACAACGTGGACTCCCGGACGAATTCATAACGCACGCATGCTATTCGCAACGCGTTTTGTTATAGTTAAAGAAGGTTAGTGTCCATAAAATACCAAATGAAAACCATTCTAATGCTCACATATGCACACATGGCTCTACCGTAAGGTGATCTCAGACGGATCTACATTATAGTGTGTCGCCTAATTCACTTTGTGACATATTTCCCTTAGAAAAAAAAGAGCGCTGATTATTCTGCTTCACGATCAGTTATATACGAGATATTCTAGAAAATGCCTCACGTAGATTGCATATGGTTAGTACAGTATACCGTATACTCAACACACTGGAAGTGTAAGAAAAAAAATGAAAAACTGCTAACGCTCATTTTTTTCAACATGCAGTTGTTTACGAGTGGTAGCCCGAGCGAATGAGTAAAATTTGATTCCTTTCTCAGATCCGCAGATTCGTTCGTTTTGCGCTCTTTCGGCTATGGCGCAAGCTGCGAACAGTGCCTCATAGTTCTGCCCACTGGACCAGCTCTTGCTGCCCCATAGCATCTCCCTTTAGATTTTGAAGCACCTTCAGTCGCACCGCACTCCTGTGAATCCCCATTTTATCCGTGCTTTTGCTGCCTAACCCACGCTGTCGCGAAGTCTATATCACTTCCAAGCTGAAAATTCTTCCACCCCGATGCTTTCACCATGGCGGTCTACGATTGACTTTATACCTCTTCGGAGCTCAGGAACTTGGTCTTCTTGACATTCAGCCGGAGCCCACCTTCTGCCAGGAATTCTGCCATTTCTGCACCTTGGCTTGAAGTTCTTCTCTGCTATCCGCTATCAGGGCGATGTCGTCAGCGTAGAGGATGGTCTTCAGCGGTCTTCCATAGGTTTTCACAGTCCAAGCGTGTATTTGCTTTAATCCCATCGTGCATGCCTTCACAACGGATATCATGTGTTCAAAAATGTTCCCTTCTCTGCACGACTTCCAGATCACGGGTCAGAATGATGGTCGAATTCCTTCTTATGTTGAAGGCGGGGTGTTCTTGGGTTCTTCTTGGGTTCTTATGTTGAAGGCAGTATGATTACGATAGATTCAAGAAGGGTTTATAGGAGACTGGTGGTGCTCAGTGGTACGCCAGTAGCGAAAAAAGGGAGAAATCCGTCAAGAAAACGCAAAACGGGACCCCCTTTTTTGGCCGTTGGTTTTCACTCATGAACAGGTAACAGCTCAGAAAGCGGACGTATGAACGACGCACAGCATGCAACCATGCTCCAATCGAGTTGCTTCAGTTGTGCCGCTGCTGGCAACGCAGCTCGTCCAAATCACCAACTAAACTAGTGGGCGGATCGCTTTTGGGGCGGAGTGCTTTCGAAGTCCTGCTCAGCAACCAGCGCACCTTTCGTCGTGAAAGCGCCACACCTCGCTTCCCTGGCAGCCAAGTAACTGATTCGTGTGGTGCATATGCTTCCCGATGCGCTCCCACTTTATCGTAATCGCTGCCTTTAACACGTTGACGACAGCGTGACGCGGTAACGCGTCCCACTTTGCGCACCTCGTGGGACATTGTGACGCGGTAACGCGTCCCACCCAAGTCATCCCTTTTCTTGCGCTTGCGCGACTTATTCCTAAGGTCTTTGTACTCATTCTATAGGCCATACATTAGCATACTTATAAACCACATGGCTCACAGAAAGGCCAAATATTCTTTAGTTTGGCAGAGGTTTTCCAGACCTTACGAATATATCTGTTCAGTTCATTCCTCGTTTTCTTTTCATTAACGTGAACATGTGATAAAAAGGAATAATAGAAGCGAATACAGTCCTATTCGTATGGCAAAATATGAATTTTTACTGAAACAAAAAACAACACGTCCAAATTAATTTTTTGGAACCAAAGGAAAGTAAACAGCAGGGTTTTCAGTTACCATGGAGCCTTTTTGTTTTAAATGTTCTTTTAGGTTTTTGTAGATTCTCATGTGAGGAATATAGAACCATGGTCCATTTTTCCTGAACGGCCCTAGAAGTCTCAAAAACAGGGGAGAAGAAATGGTCCAAAGTTCGATCCCCGTCATGACAAATTTTTTGCATTATCTTGGGGCCTCCAAAATGCCGCAAAACACGAACATTACATCTATTCTCGACGATGGAGCATTTGGCCGCAATCTGGGGCCGCCAACATACTGAAATTCAAGTTCATCACGGGATCGAACTCGGGACCATTTCTTCACCAATGTTTTGACATTCCTGGAGGCGTTCAGGAAATGGATTATGGTTCTGTGTTCCTCGTATGAGCCCCACAAATGCAGAAAACGGTTTCGAAAAAGCGCTCCATGTCCTGAAAGACCACCCTTGTGAGTGAGATTTGTCTTTTCATGGCCTCAACACGTCATTTCGGTAGAACTTCCATGACTGTAAAGGATAAAGGATAAAGCATTTGCCGTTGATCAATCCCTTTTTGGGATGCGGCACGCATTCTACTTCCATTTGTACATTCGTAGTGGCGTTTGAATGCGATGTGGCCTATACAATGACTTGCGGGGGCCAGCCGATGTACAAGTCAGTGTTTTTATCCCCCAGACAAGTCTGGTACCAATTAACCGACCCCGGAGGGATGGAAGGCTTGGTTGGCCCGGGCGACTCACGACCCAGGATTTGATCCCCGGACCGCTCGCGTGGTAAGCGTGCCACTTGCCACTACACCACTTCCGCCCTCTAATAACTTCGTATAAGTTGACAAATCGAACATTATTGAAAACACTTCATCGCATCTAAGTATTGCGTATTTACAGCTCAAAATCCATGGATTTGGTGTGCGGCGGCGGCGCTCGCAAAATCGCTCTTGTCCCACGCGGTGCAAAAACCAAAACGCGCGATGTCGTCAACGTGTTAAGGAAGACTAACCTAAGTAGCAGGGTCGGCGTTTTTCTCAATACGTCTCCATCACCTGTCCAGCGACGAAGATCGCATTCATGGTGGACCTTACAGGTTTGAAGTCGAAGAGTTTCTTCGAGATCGTGCCGGCAGTCCAGCTTTGCACTGACTAACCGCTCGAGCTCCACGGTATGCACAATAAACTCGATTCCAAGATAGATAGATTCCAAACAATTTCCCTCGACATATACAGTGTTCAGGAGCTTGAGAACCTACCCTACTCCGTCCTCACTGAGCGCCTTCCGTGCCTCAGATGTAAAACATCTGAACCAACCACATTCCAGAGCTCCAGTGCTCCTACTACTTATCCAACCTCTTCTTTGTCCAGAGTGCGATGGAACCTGCTATCGCTTCTATTTTTTAGTGCTATTACGGAAGAAGCTTGTCATAGTTTTTGTTTGTTCCGTCTGTCCCCTTTGGGGCGAAAGTTTTTGCACAACCCAGCATTCTCGTGAAAGCTTGTCATAGCATTATTTCCACCTCCACTTGATTTGACTGTTTCTAGCAGGATGGCACGGTCATTGTGTTTTCCCTTCTTCACCACCATGCTGACTAGTAGCGCAGTGCCGAACTTTGAATAGAATGAAAACAAACTTTCTGCATCCGAATTTTCGTACAAGGCGCCCATCTCCGTGTTCTTCATCTTGGGTACGGCTGCTTTGCAAATCCCTGTAGATGGCAATTTCTGGCCATATCTTCGCCGTATCGCGCTTTTACGCTCCTTCCTCTGTTTCAGGACTCCGTGGAGCTCCTCCTTCCAGAACCACCTGCCGTGCCTCCTCTCGTTCCGCCACCGGTTTCATGAAATGCTTCTTGTGCAACCGTAAGACTACTTCAACCGCATTACTCCAAGTTTGTTGGGTTGTCCATGCGGATCTGGAAGACAAGTTTTCAGTATCCTTTCGTTCGAGATCATGCTTCGTTTATAAAGGTTTTTTCTTTTCTAATTGTCGGTTTGATACAACATCCTCCACCAAAATCTCTGCTCGTTTTTAGCCTTACCTTTTTGAAGAATCTAGTTCCCAGATAGGAGGAGGGGGGGGGGGGTTCGGTGGATAAGCCAGCACTTCTCCGGTAGTATTGTACTTTGACATTGCCTACATTCTGAAAGAATTTCCTATTGGGTGCACTTGGTGAAGTCGATTCCTCACACTGTTGCAGATTAGCTTCTACGTCCATGGTGGCTCCATCCATGGTGACTCGGAGTTACAGGAACCCTATCATCTACGCTGATCTTGGGAGTCACCTACGGCGCGATGGATCAACTTCATTGATTACTTTTGCCTCGACGACGTCGTTGTCGTTGGAGTTCGACGCTTGACTGGATCCTCCTCTTCTTCAAGCTAAATTCCTTTTCTGGATTAGTGGAGAAGGAGTCATTAAGTCCACGGAGGGAAGGCCGCAACTCGTCAGTTGGGATCAAAGGCAATCGTGGGATCCGAATTAAAATCATCGAAGTTACCACTACTATTGGAACGTCGTCATATATTGCGCGTGCGGAGACGAAACTTAAAATCATCAGAGGCTCGTCCATTTGGAATTCTTGACTGATATTCAGCGCGGGAGACCAGCACGGGCCATTGGACACACAACTCACTGTCCTACCGCAGAGCTAGGCACGGCTTCTCCAAAACATACAAGTGCTCGATCGCATCCTCACGCGATGATATAGCCCCAGAAGGAACCAGAACATTCCAGGGAAAAGCCAATAGGTTCTAATTGAGTTTTGCGAACACTGTGGCACAGATCTAACGTAAGAATAGCTGAGCCGGACGGTAGCGAGTTGACAGCTAAAGAGAAAGGTAGATATCAATCTCCTGATTGTCACCATAACTTTTTTTGTATGCTGCCAGCATGTTCCATTTCATTTTTTTCATTCATTCTCTCTGCAGAATCATATCTGCATAGCTCTACCCAACTCGAACTCCATCGCTGTTCCTAGGGGTTAAATTATTGAACGCGACTGTGACGTCATTGCTGGCACCTATTCGAAGTATTTTCGGAATGTTTCTGAACTTTTTAGGAGCATAAGAGATATTTAAGACACATAAGTTGATCGTTGCAAAAATGAACTCTCTCTATAAATTTTCTTCTCATTGAACCCATGATCAACGAGCGGTTCCAGCCCACAACCGTCTCTACGAAGTTTGCGACTACTATCACGAGAAGCGACCTGTCAAATAATGAAAGACGTTCTGAACCTGGCAAAATTTGCAGATTTATTGACTAATGTCTTTAACCAACAACGATGATGCAAATTTTCCTATGTTTGATATGTACACACTACTCTACGCTTTGCATAAATATCTCTCCTATAATAAACATACACAATAAAATACTATTAACGAGTCACTAGAACGGACTGCTTCTATATATACATCACTGAAAGATTTGATGAGAGTCAGTAGAGGTTACTGAGAGTCGTGTTTCGTTCGCAAACAGAGTGGTAGAGCGAGGAACATGGGTAGAAGTAGAGGTAACTGCCCGAAATGGATTTCATGTTGTAATAGGCGGCACATTGTGGCAACCGAAGACCATCCGTTGGCATCGACGCGAACGGCAGGATCAACCATTTCCTGAAATCCACGGTTCAAAAAGGCACATGTACAAACATTTTACTTGGCCGCATTCCGCTCTCCAGTGGCTTATCTCGTCTAAAGCAATGCCGGAATACGCAATGAAGGAATGCCAAAGCACAACAATGTGTTTGAAAATTGAGCAATAACTCACAGCAGTGCGGGATCCAGTCCTTCGTAACCGCCAAATGATGGCCTTCCGGACGGGAGGGCGCACCTCATAGGCGACCTGAAAAGAACCTCTTGGCGAAATGTAGCGCTCCAATATGTCGCTGTCACTCACGGGCCGTCTGGTAGAACAACTTGCCACCGCGGGTATGAGTCAGTCTCGCTCTGTCCAAGGCCAATCCAGCTCCAGAAGTATGGCGGTGTCTCTTTCATTACTTCGTTCTGAAAATGTGTGACACTATAATTGAAACAACTTCATCGGCTGCATTCAGCAACTCACAAATTCCTCAATGGAGTCAGCGATGAACAGCGTAGCTCCCTTTTCATTGCATGCTCTCTCAGCCTCGATAAGACCCATCTTGGCCCGAACTTCCTATTTATAGCACGATCTTGTAGCGCTCCATCTCATTTCAGGGAATTCTCACAGACATGCCTTTCCTAAAAAGGCGATCATAATCTACATAAAACTCATAGAGAACGTTGGAGCGTAACTTCGCGACAATCTTGCGGGTTCTTCAATATTCTTGCTGTGACTGGCGCAGCAGCTTTCCTTCTTCGTCCCATAGTAATTCAGCACGATTGCGCGCCGGTTGAGTGTGGTCGGTCCATTGTTGTCGTCATGTTGCTTGTGATGGTGGTTAGATAGTGTTGTTGGGTCCTTCATAACTTCACAGCACAGCAGCAGCACCCCCCTCCCCCCACGACGTTCGCTGAAAGAAGGTCTTCGATGTTATGCCGGAAGTCAGCTGTTCTGAACTCACGGGTCGTTGTTGGTTCCGTAGTAGTAGTGGTTGGTGGTCGTTGTAGTAGTTGTGGTTGTTGGGTCTTCGTACACCTCCTCACAGCAACAACAGCACGAAGATGCTAAAAAAGAGATTCTTGCTGGTGAACTAATGTTACTCACAGTTTGACTAACCAAACTTGAGCAGGTGCTAAGCAGCGGTCGAGCAGTGACTGTGGTACGTCGGTTCTCTTGACATCGGCATTTGCAAATCCATACCCGCTGCCGTCATCTTGACCAACAGGGAAAGGGAAGACTCGCAACACAAACACGAGCAGAATCAGGGATCTGGAGGAACAGCAACTTGGCATTGGGAAATAGCACTGAGATGATGACAGAGACGACTCACTTTAACGACATTGGAGCTGGAGACTGGAGCAGAGCATCGCAACTTCCTTTTATAGCACTCTCCGCCTTTCCTCACTAGCCGCGGATCGAGAATCAGAGCGTTGAAGTTACTGGTGAATCTCGTTTTCAGTCTTTATCTTTCTCGCGTAAGCTGGCTTCAATAATAGAAACTCTTTTGGCTTCCGGACTCAAGGGCAAAATTCATCTGATTCACATATTTGCCTGCTATCGGTGATTTTGTGGTGATCACTTTTTGATGTCATAACTATCGGAATGATCTAATTTCAGCTCTTGGCGGATAGATCAGACGATGTAAAGGGGTTCGTATTTCTCTAACAAGTTCTTTGATTTTCAATTAATTAATAAGTATTCCACGACCGATGATGCTTAGCCGCTTCGTTGTAGGTTTTTATGTGATCCCATTATCTATCTAGCTTTCCCTCAATGTTTGCCTTGCCTGTCATTTCCTTTATTTTGACCATAGTCTACGACCTGAAATGCTCGCCTTTAACGATTGTGTTCTATTTTGCAACAGCTCCGTTTCCAAACTCCGCAACCGCGTGCTTAAAATCGTTGGCAAGTGGTTGCAGAGCGTTTTTGAAAAAAAAAGCAGAGAAGAAACTCGCCAGAGAACCGGTCCCGTGCCCCCGTCTTTACACGCCCCTAAAATAAAGCTGTGTTTCGTCACGCGCATTGTTTTCAAGAGATTTCATCACAAAAATGCTGGGTTATGGGTGACAACAAAATTGCTCAGAAAGTTGTTTCGCAGATTCTAGAGCTGCTATAAGTTTGAGCTAAACGTCTAAATACGCTTGCAATGGCTCAAACTAATCGCAAGATTGCCGGCTGACCTACTCTTCCTTCCTTAAAAAAAGGATAAATAAAGTTGCTAATGTAATAATCTGTCATCTTCTAGGATTGAAGGCAGCTGTCGAGTGACTACCTGCTCGTTGCGAGCAAATTGAGAGTACCACTTATAGTTTTATTGGCGCCTCACCAAACCACATCTCTGCTCGAACCAGGTGAATCTCGTCTAGGCCAATTCACATGCCTTCCAATATCGTTTACTGCTTCCGCTTCTCACGAGCCCGGGGCTCGTAACCGGCAGTCTCAAGTCGGGAATTACTATTAACTCCTGACTGGCCTGAAGGAATAATCGTTGAGTCGGGCTCGTGAAAAAGGGAAGTCGTCCGCCACTACCGTCCTTCCGAGATAATTCAGTTGGTACATACAGGCCAGCAACCCAATGTATAGGTCATACCGCACGTAAGTGATTTACTGAAATATCACTGTATGGAATTCAAATGCATGGAGCAACACAGAAAGAGTGATGCTAAGTCCAGTGCTGTATAAATTTTCCGAGGGTGGACGCAAAATATCTGTGTCACATGTTGCCTTACATCGCATTGATAATTTCAAAGAAGGGTTCCACGGGCAAGTCGAAGGTCTTGTTGGAAAAATAATGTCTTCTCTCTCCCAAGACGTATTCCTGGGGAGATGCTATTCTGTCGAAATACCTGGCAGTCCCCTAACCGACAAAGTGCGGACGACCCCATTTCGCAAGAAAGACTGTGGCCGGTCGCATACTAGGCCGTATTCGCGTTGTTCGTGCCGTTGCTCCACTCTGAAACCTTACTGAATCCTGCTTTCACATAGCCTTGCTTTTAGTCAAAGAACGCAGAGAATGAGCAATGCAGAGAAGAGCGCTCGCACTGATGACTTCAGCATCGAATGCAAAATCCCACAATTCAAGAGGGGTTGGATTTCTCGATTTCCTCGACGTTTTTCTAGGTTTTCTTCATACGTGTATCACTGACCACCTCTACCTTAATTTCCAATGAACTGCGGTTGCTTCGTGAATTCCGGATTTGTATCGGATTTGAACATTTTTAATGACCCCATGGCGATTTGCAACCACGATGCCATTTTAAGGTCCTTGACGCGAGAAAACTAGTGGCGCTCAGGTTTCTGTTTCGCCGCGTACACTTTTGTCTTGAAGAAGCCAAGCCTATCAAATTATTTCATTTATCAAGCGTTATGCTCGTTAATGGGATATAAAATTGATTTCGGTGCCGCGGACGCGACGAGCTATCTCTTTATCAGTGACGCTATATCACCTAAATCGAGCAGCACATTCACAGTCTCAATGAAATACTTTTCTCTGGCTAGCTTCATGGCAGACAGAGAGTGTGAAAGCTCCACTCTTGAGAATTTTGATGTTTGAAATATGTACAGAGTAATTTGACTTACCTGTTTTTTCCCTCTACCATGTCTTCTGACTTTTTTCTGCCTCCATTATTGTACATATTATCGACGTCCATTCCATCTATGGAGTATGGATATGGTCTCAACAGGTCGAGGTTTACGAGATTTACCATGAAACATGTGCCAAGTCTTCATTCAAGTGACAATGCCTGGATAACCCAAAACTGAAGTGGAACTTCATTAACTTTTTGATCCAAGCCAACGCCATAGAGTGCAACTCAATCGCGTCTTTCACTGTCGTACATCTCTTTTATGAAGCAGAAATAGATTTCTCTCCTGTTAATTCCGTTGGTATCCACCATGCGAACTGGATAGCTGCCATTTGCGGAAAATAATGTTCGATGAAAAAATGAAATCGATGTTTGAAAATGAGAATATGCACATAGAAGCCGATAAAGTGAGCCTCACAAAGTATAGGTGAAGGGCTTATGATGAGTAGGTGAGCATGGATAAGAACTTCTATGACCTTCTTGAAGGTGTTCAATAGCCGACTATCTAAAATAATTACGAATTTACTTTTGCAGTCCTCATGGAAATAAATTAATCCTTCATGTTCTTTTTCCTCCTGCACAGCTAGGCTGTTTCAGTTTTCGCTCTCATTCTTTTACTGCTGCATGAATTTCCTTTCTTCAACAGTTGGCGTCCTGCTCTCCCGCGGAAATACGTGCACCTTTTTGCTTTCCGACCCTAGCACAAAAAGGAACCGTCCCTTTCCTGAGAATGCAGATCACCTCCTTGAATACAAGGAGGTGAGTAGCAAAAAAGACTTCTGCTCACAAGTGTATTAGAAAAATTTCGTCGCATATGATTCAATATTTGATGGAAAACTTGCGATAAAGATATTCCTGGAAAGTCCTCCATAAGTAAAAGCGAGCCCATGCTCACTGACCTCACCATTTTTAGAACACGAAGTCTTCCGTTGACACCGTCGAGCATAAAGGGAGCTTCTGTTACTGCTTGCCCTGAAGCCAGCGGCATAAAATTTCTTTCAATCGATTTTCTGGAGGCTGGCAGTTTTTTCATAGGAAGTAGCTAATAGGTAAGACCCCTGCCAACCGACAAACTGAACAACGTCGTACCGTCCATCGAGGAAACTCGTTCAGTTCGAACTTGCACCATCTCCCGGTGATACATCCTCCTAATGCCCCCTATGGTGAAGTTTTGTTAAGAACTCGAAAATGTGATTTTCGTATTATTTCACTGAAATGCATGTGAATTGAAGTTTATTCTGATGTGAAATATAATTAAGTTGGAAAATGTGCAGGCTGAGTGCTTTTTGAACTTTTCCCTGTACAGAGGTAATCATTAATCCCACTGCATGAATTTCGCCACCGTATCCTCTATCATCATCGAAATAATTCCAAAGTTACACTGAACTAAGCTGGTTCCTCGTTAAAATGTAATACAAAATTCAGCAAATTCAAGCATCGATTTTCAAAGAATCTAAAAGTACTCCTTCTTTAATTCAACATTTTTGCCATTCTAATGTTTTTTGGCTCTCAAAGGATAGATATTGGCTTCCTGCGCTTTCGTTTCAAACTCTGCTACTCATCTAACAAATTCTTCTGAGAGAGATTCTCCTCTCTGTCCGCATAGCGAGCGTTTTACGTCTCGAGTTTTTGGCCTTACGATCACGGTTGTCATCAGTTGTGACGAATCTAGTAACCTTTCCCTTTCAGGGGTAATTTTCATGGCCAGTGCGAACACCAGTGACGTCCGATGGCTTTTCAAGATTCACCACATCTGCACTGTTTTCCTCTATGCAATCTTTTCAACTAAGCCTGTTTATGAACCTCTATGTACTGTTGAGTCGAGAGGACACCATCTTCTACCTGAGGATCTACCACATGGCAAGCGTTTTGCTCATTTTTTTTCGCGTTTTATGAATCTATAGTGAGTTTTTAGTGTTTTGCAATACACTATTTCAATTCTTTTACTCTGGACTTCCTCACCGAGACACGGGAGGGAGGGGTCACCGGCATGGTTTGTTTTCCGTTCGTCTAACAAGGAGGGCGCTGTTCAGGTGTGCCAAGCTGTCAAAACGCGCTTCTTGCCTTTGATATATACTTACAATATGTGCGCGGAACCACAAATTCCAATGGTTAATTTTTTCCTGAACGGCCTCTGAATACCAGAAAAGGGGGTCCCTAGTCACACCTTTTTCACCAGTTTTTCAATCAAAGTCTATTTGTAAGGGTTACTGACGGTCCTAATCATGAATATGGTACTAATTATTCATGCTAACTCCATTTTGCGCGAATTTTGAAACGTCAACTCGAAATGCAAAAATTTGTCACCACGAGGAATCGAACTAGGGACCCCTTTTCTGGTATTCAGAGGGCCGTTCAGGAAAAATGAACCATGCTTCTGTGGTCCCATATGTGCCCCAATGTCATGCAAGAAACCGTTTTGAAAAAGCTTGGCACACCCTGAACGACCTCCCTTGTAAGGGCACGCGCGAAACGGAAGACAAACTACTTCTTTGAAATCCCCCCCCCCTTGATTAACAATTTGTTTCATTCTTTGTATCAATTTCATTGAGATTTACTTTGCGAAACATTGTCGGTTCCCAGTATGAGTCACGAAATCAGAACCGTAAAGACACTTCTTAGAGATTTTCCGACGGTTGTGGCTCCGCAAGCAAGCCAAGATCAGGTGAAAGCCGATCTCGACCTCTCAAAAAATTGTAGTGAACCGTGATCCATACCTTCGTCTAAAGCACTTTGACACTTTACAGATAATCGCATTGCTAATGGTTTGTTGTGGAGTGATCGAAATCGAATTCCTATTTCGAACCCGGAAGTTGGAAAAGCTCGAAGAACCGCACGAGATTCCCGTACCAGCACTTATCGGTACTTGTTTTCTACTTCTAGAGTTTCCCATTAAAACCACTTAATTACACCTATGTTTAGGAGCTGTGGCGTTGACGATCGGTATTGCGCTAGGGTATCTCTACTTCATTATATTTAATTATGCTTTCCAGGTAAACTTCACCGAAAATCTCTTAAAAACCTACTTTTCCCACTTCATTAGTGTGGTTTTTTGTGCAATGCGCAGTTCACCCAGTATAAAATAATGCATCAATACCAAATTGCGTTTACGTCTTTCCTGATTTAGCAGATTCTGTCTTAGCTATCCAAGTATTCAAACTTTACGGGATGGGAAGCATGGTCGACCTGGAGGGCGAACCGCTCAGGATCTGGTACCTGAATCATGCGCACAGGGTGCCCACTTTCCATTGCACTACCGCCTTTTACTAGTTCAGCAGTACAAAAAAATCACTAGAAAGTTGATTTTTCGCGCAC